CACAAGTGCAGAGACATACCATGTTCGTGAACTAGAAGAATCAATGTTGTGAAAATGACTACACCACCCAAAGCAATATACCAAATCCAGAAATACATCAAACAAATGAGTAAAGACTTAACTAGGAAAGCAAGGACATTTCAGTATAAAAAGGTCTGTCAACCATAAGTTAGAGCTGAAAAGCAGATAAAAAAAAAAAACACACCACCTTTCCTAATAAAGCCTCTAAGTAGACAGGAAAAAAAAAACAATTGATATATGATGAACACCATTTGACATTATTCTAAATAACGAAATGTCAGAGCCATATTTATTGCTTTACTCCATTTAAAATGTAAATGAAAGTACATGAAATAGAATAGTTCCTTTTTTCTTTAGATTATATCACATTTCCAAGTATTTTAACAAGTTTATGTTAGGGCATTAAACAAGATGTATTAGCTTCTTTCTATTTTCATTAAGTTATCTTTCTGCTATGTAAGTCCAAACGATAAAGTAACATGTGGATAGAGATCTTCTATCTGCCCTTAGAAGCCAAAATGTGAAAGTAAAGTCGCTCAGTTGTGTCGGGCTCTTTGCGACCCCATGGACTGTAGCCTACCAGGCTCCTTCATCCATGGGATTTTCCAGGCAAGAATACTGGAGAGGGTTGCCATTTCCTTCTCCAGATCTTCCTGACCTAGGGACTGAACCTGGGTCTCCTGCATTGAAGGCAGACGCTTTACCGGGAAGCCAAAATGGTTATCTTTAAAAACCTAGTAAGGGGGTGATAAGAATCACTGACCTAAGTCAATCAACAACAGCCAAAATTCATCTAACTTTATTGAAATGCATCAACCCTCACAAAATACTTTAGCATTTGTAACAATTTTAAGTCTTACAAATTAAGAAGTAGTTTGTGAACTTGTCAAGTAGAAAACCAGTTCTAAATTTTCTCTTTATTTGAAAGGTTTTACTTACTTTCTGTATTTAAAGGTTTCTTTAGGAAGGGTAAATTAAAAAAAACACAAACAAAATACATGAAGAAAATTGTGGCTATTTACTCAGACTAGATCTAACACCCACGCTTAAATTCAACCAACTGTATCTAATGCAGCTGGTTAAGTACTTCAGATAAAGACATGATTAAGCATCCTCTTATGGCCTGGCCACAGAAAAAAGAAAAATCTAATGCTTTTTTTCCCCCCAAAACATTCCCATGTAACAAAGCCTGGTCAAAATATTCTTACAGTTTTGTCTCTGTGTGTGTTAATTTTTATGTCAGAAACGTTACCTTGGATTATATCATTAAATATTGGCTGTTTCATTATGTTTCTTCTTTAAGATGAAAACAGACTATATAACAATCTTCTTCTGTGATTTCCATATTTTCTCACTTGAATTTAACATTCTTATTCATTTGGGTAAATTCTAGCCACTTATCCATTTCTAGCTTATTGTTCTTTATCGTGTTTTCCACAGTCTCTACTGTCCCTTGTGAGCCTTCCAATTTCATCTTCAGCAATAGTTTTCTTATTTTTCTTTCCCCTCAGTCAGCTTACACTGCACTTTCTCATGTAGTCACACTCACTGTCTCTTCCCTGACCTCATACCACTGTTTGTGTTCTCACTGATAAATATTTCCATTAAGGGTCTTATATTCATGGCAAGATGTTTGGTCATTCTTTTCATCTTCTTCACAGCAATATTGTTTTTTGATGAGTATTCTTCACCTGTCCTTTGTTTTTCCATTCCTTTCTCCTTTTTCAATTCTTGAATGGCAGTAGCAGCCTTGAGCTGGATTCTTTTTGCCAAGTCATCACTGAAAGTGATGACGTTTTCCTGGACAAGTTGGCTACAGGAAGCTAATGCAGAAGGCCATAGTGGGATCAGTTCTGCACCAGCAAAATTCTGTTTTGATTCAGGGTTTTACGTGAGAATCAGTCAGCTATTTACTTCTCAGCATCCAGAGGAGATAGAGGGCTTTGACACTTGTCAAAGGCCGCTCCTCCCCTTGTCTGTGACTCCCTGTTTGGTTTCACATCCCAACTTCGCAAAATCAAACCAGAGGCAGGGAAACTCCTGCCATTGGCTTGAGAAGCCAGCCTGCTTTTAGAAACAAAGGCTGACAGGTTTTTCACCTCAGGGTGGGCCTCTCAACTTCGTGAAGCATCTCCTGCTGGCTCCAAGCTCTGCAGCCGTGGCATCGTCCACCTTCTCCCACAGGCGGCCTGCCTGGTTCCTGCTGCTTCAGGCAGCCATTCCCGGTTTGTGGCTTAGTAGACTATGTAGTTTGTACTTTAGTTTTTCCCTCTTTGTTGTTAACAGCCAATTGCCAGAAAGCAGAAGAAAATGCCAACTTAACAGCATCATCTTCAAACCCAAAATTCAACAATTAACCTTAGTAGAGTATTTTATACATGATAGAAACTGAATGTCTCACTACATTACTGAAAGATAAAGGTGTGCTTTATTTACTATCTCACTGTGAGGTATAATACTAACTTTCCACAAAATACTGTTTTTCATATGGCCATTAACAACTGACATAATTATTTTTATTTCAAAACCTCATGTGTATATTGATTATAACCTAGGGCAGAAAATTATCTGATGCCAAAATGTAAAAGATTCTTTTCAAGACCCAGGGTCAACTGGGGGAACAAATTATGAGTGTTCTCTCAGTATGCTACAATCTTAGTATTTGTTTTTAAAGCAGAAACTTTTTAGTAATAAAGACAACAAATCATCTGACAATCTGCAAGACCCCAATGACATTTGGGTTTGAAATAAAGACAATTTATACTATGGGCTTCCCTGGCAGTGGTAAAAATTCTGCCTGCCAATGCAGGAAATGCGGATTCGATCTCTGGATCAGGAAGAATCACTGGAAGAAGAATGGCAACTCACTCCAGTATTCTTTCCTGGGAAATCCCAAGCAGAGGACAGGTTACCGTCCATGGGGTCTCAGAGTCAGACATGACTTAGAGCTTAAAGAACAAATTTATATTATATATAGGATCATTCCCTTAGTGATTAACTCTAGGCACATCTTTTTCCCTGCCAGTTACTATTCTTCTACTCTTTGCTTATCCAATACCAGGTATGTTCTGAGTAAAATCAAGTTTTACTAATAGCTCATTTTTTAAAGAAGCAAATAATATACCAAAAACAAATTAAACAGATTTTGAACTAGTAGTGTTTTAAATGATTCCATTTTCATACATAACAGTAAATCTGTCAATGCTAATATGTCATACAAAAGCGAAGTAATGCCTGATATAAGTTATTAAGTTTAGAGGCACCATGAGATCATATTGATAGAAATGAAGAGCCTTTCCTCTATTGTTGTTGTTTAGTCACTAAGTCCTGCCTGACTCTTTGTGACCTCATGGACTGTAGCCCGTCAGGCTTCTCTGTCCTCCACTATCTCTTGGAGTTTGCTCGGACTCATGTCCAAAGTTCTTCCTTGCAGAATTCTAAGCAAAAAATGTAAATGGAAAGATGGAATTTGAAAAACCACAGTTCAACAACCACCGGAGTTGGAATTACAGTGGACAGGAAGAGACATCGTGCACTTCATCTAATTAACTGTGTCCAATCACCACCAACGGCACCAATACACACCACGCTCTGAGAAGCACCGCTGAGGAATTCCTGCCCCAAACGCACAACCTGAATCTAACCAGGAGGACACATGGACAGCTGCAATGGGAGGATATTCTACAGAACAACTGGCCTGCATGTGCTCTTCAAAAATGCCAAGGCCATGAAGAGACAAATAATGAAGAACTGTTCAGATTAAAAGAGACGAAGGAAAAAATAAATAAATAAAAGAGACTAAGGAAAAATGACAACAAAATTCAGTGTAGGATCCTGGACTGGACTCTGGGCCAGAAACAATTTTTTTCTTTGGTATATAAGATATTAGTGGGACAACTGATAAAAATCTATCTATATACAGGAGAACCGTATCCATGCTTATCAAGGAAATATACATTAAAGTACTTAAAGACACTGAAGATACTGAATGCAATTTTCTCTCAAACAATTCAAAAAAAGCAAGAATACTGTGTATGTGTATGTGTATGTGGAGAGAATGCTAAAGCCTATGTTATAAATGTGAACATTTCGGGTATCTGACTAAGACACTCTCCCTAACAGTAATACAAGATCAGATCTTTACTACATTCTACTCATCATATCATGAAATTTTAGAGCTGAAAGAAAAACGTATTCTCTCGTCCAAATTATTCCCAACTTACAGATAAGGACAAAGAAGTTAATGACTTGCTCAACATGACAACGTTCAAGGCAGAGCCAAGACGATCATGCTGCTCTGACTCAGCTCTTTCTACTACTGCAAGTTGTCTCTTGTACCTTTACATTGTCATCTACTCCCTAAATATGTGATACCAAATTATCTAGCTCTATCTTCTCATATATTCTAATAAGCTGGTGTGGTAAACCACTGTCAGGCAATCTAAACTTCAGTTTTTAAAAGGCATTTATGTGCACAGTCTTTAATAACTAATATCAATAAATATGTTGCCAGAAACATGTTGGATACTATATGAAATGTTAAAAATACAAAATCAACACACTCTACTGTGAGTGACACTGCTAGGTCCATTATGACAGACACCAAGTCGGTATTATTGATCACCATAACCCAAATCTTAGGACAGTGCCTGGCATACAATAAACATTCAAATGACTGTATGCTGCTAAATAAAAGACATCCCACAGCACAAGAATGTGTATACAGATAATCATAACATCCTCAGTGTTAACAAAGAACCATAAGACAACAGCAACAGAAGTTATATTTTTGCTTGATTAGATCTAAAAGACTTTGGAAACTAAATGACTACCAAAGGTAACACTTGAAAGACAAGTAAGATTTTGACAGACATGGAAGCAGTGGGGTAGTGACAGGATGAGTAGGGGGAGTTAGATAAAACAGCTTGAAGCCAAGAAAATATTTGGCATTTCTACTAAATTTTTAAACATGGGCTTACCTATTGTTGCTGCAAGTTCTGGATCAAAAGTATCATCTGTGAACCTCAAGAGCAGGCTAAAAGAGATGTCAAAAAGGCAGATTAGTAATTTTGACTTTTATTTGGTAAATCTTCCTGTTAGACACAATTTAAAAGAGCTAATGTAGTCAGCTTCCAGAAATATGGCCTCACTGCAGGTATATTCAGAGAAACTAAGTTATTGGAAAGGCAATTAAGAATCCCCAAAGCAGTTTACTAGAAAACTTATTTCCCATGCTCCATTTCCTAAGTATGAAAAGAGGGTTTTGTTTTTTTCTTATATAACTGTACTGGTATGCCCTTCTGAGAAAATGGTATTAGCAAACATGTAATGCTTTAACTGACATGGACAAAAGGGGGAAGAGGAAGTCTCTTGGAAGGCAACAAATTAAATTTTTAAGAAATCTAATGTGTCATCCACTCCAAATTCAGGTAAAAACAGAAAGGTGTGAAGTCCAGCATTTTGAAACAAGTAGATTGACTATTATTTACCTAAGTGGGAAGAAGAGATACAATAAAAAGTATGGGCTGAAGGTCACATGCTGGCCAGAGTAGGTTTCCTCTGGCAATGCTGGGTAAGGTGTATGAAATCAAGTCAGCAATATGCAGCTACCAAAGGCTGCCAAAGAAAGGAATGGCAGGAACTGCTCTATATTTTGAAAAGTTAATGCCAGCAAAAAAAAAAAAAATACCCACTAAGAAAATCAACAGAAGACAACTGCCAAGATCATAATAAGGGATAATGAAGGACTACACCTAGGAAATGGTAAAGAAAGGAAGGAATGCATGAAGTGAAAGGAAAAGATAATCACAAAAGTATTCCAAGATTTTATCTTCCAGAATTATTTTATTTAATATAAGGCAGAAATGTCAGTTATTAGAAGTTCTTAAAAAATAAAACCTAAGTTTTTATTAAAGCCCTTTAGATTTATAAAATTAATAAATCTCTCCTCACATTATCCCTAAGTAGAATGAGACCACTCTATTGACTTACTTGCATTAATAAAATCAAGACAATAACTATCTTATGTCTCAATTGCAGGGCACAAAAAAACATATGACTATTTCTGTAGACTGTAACTATTGCTGCTAAAGACTTTTTTTTGTCCACAAGGTATACTGCAAAACATAATGGCCTCTTGGTACTTTCCAAACCCAGTGTCATTAATTCTATTTGAAGGACTAACTCTCCCTTTCCCAGTTTTGCTTTCCGGTGATCACAAAACCAGCACCACAAAAGCAAAGTAAAACAAAAGAATCAAATTGGAGATTTTTCTACTTAACATTGAACTATAACTAATTTTATTTAACTCCAACATGAATTAGGTGACAGCACTAGTAAGAATCTTAAAAGACTACTCATAAAAATTTTCTTCTCTCCCCAACATTAAACTTCAAATTAGGGAAGCCAAAAAATTTGTTACTCATAATTTAAGAATAGAAAAGTTGTATATTTAAACTCATCACCAAAGAAAATATTACAAAACTGTAGACCCTTACCAAGCACGAGTAATAATGATACCATAACAATAACATAAATGATAAGAACAGTATGGGCTATTATTTATTGAACTTGGACAACGAGCCAGATATTGAGCCAGGGGCTTTTCTTATATAATTACTAATCCTTAAAACATCACTTGTCATTATTTTGTCAGGAAAGGCAAGGATGTAAAACAACAAATTTTAATACAGGCTCCGAGGATAAGGGAGCAGATCTTAGCCATGGGTACACTGTCAGATGAAAATGTATCTTAAATTCTATGTGTGCATTTTTCTAGGTAGGGAGTCTATTTCTCTATTAGATTTTGAAAGGAATTCACAACCTGAAAATGATTAAGCAACACTGTTCTAAAGGATGTATGGTTAAGCCTTCATTTTCAATGGTCAAGGAGCAAAATACTGAGCTGTAGATGGAAGAAATAACCCCTGCCATTCCACCTGGAAGAGACCAAATGTATAATTAATCAGTGTGATTACAACTAAGGTGCATTTCTCAGTTTACAAATGACACTGGTCATCTCTTACAGAGATGTAAGAGACACAGAGGGATAGCAAAGTAAATAACAGCATGTCTCTATAATCCCTTCCAGTTCTGAAACACCTTGCTACTTCTCTACTTCACCGTGGGCTAGCCACGGAATCAAAGAATATTACACATTTAACACTAGATAGGTTTGAGAGATTTCTACTCCAACCTCACTTTTCAAACAAAGAGATGAGGCCTAGTGTCTGAGTGTCACACACAAGGTCACACAAGTGGCAGCACAAGTTTCATCATTCTGATCTCCTGATCTCACACATGTTCATTAACTCTAAGTATAAAATAAACTGGAAAAATAACCCACTAGTCTGAATGAGTTAAGATCTCCTTTGCTGTGCAATGACTTCTCAAGAACACACGATACCTCACTTTCATTAACTCTAGATTTACAGAGAAATAGAAACTATTGGTTAGAACAATCGTGTAGGATTATATTGATGTCAAATGTTTTTGTACTAACTCACCTTAAAAAGCATGCTACATGCTAAATCGCTTCGGTCATGTCCAACTCTTTGCAATCCTATGGGCTGTAGCCCGCCAGGTTCCTCTGTCCATGGAATTCTTCAGGCAAGAATACTGGAGTAGATTGCCATTTCCTACTCCAGGGGATCTTCCTGACCCAAGGATGGAACCCAAGTCTCTCATGTCTCCTGCTTTGGCAGGCAGGTTTCTTTACTGCTAGCACTACCTGGGAAGCCCCTTAAAAAGCACAGGCTTCTAAAGAGTCATTTACTCTCATTTTATCTAGGAAGATAAGCGTTCCAAGTTTTTTTACACAGCATATCATGTCCACCAGTAATGTATATCAAGCTGGAAAGATAAAGTAACTTTCTCCCTAAATGCAACCCTTTCTTGAAAGAGATAAAGGTGTTAAAATTTTGCAGTGAGCTTTTGAGGTGAGAAAAAATTTGGAGCAGATAAACTCCAAATAAATTTGTTTGCCAGGAGGGAACCAAGGAAACCAATAAATCCACTTAACAGATTTTACTCCAGAGAAAGAATATCAACTTTCACTGTGACTTAGCAACTACAGAACAAAAACAACAATAGGAGTGTTTACTCTGGGCTTCCTTGGTGGCTCAGATGGTAAAGAATCTGCCTGCAATGCAGGAGACATGGGTTCAGTCCTTGGGTTGGGAAGATCATCTGGAGAAGGGAACAGCTACCCACTCCAGTCTTCTGGCCTGGAGAATTCCATGGACTGTATAGTCCATGGGGTTGCAAACAGTGGGGCACGACAAAGCGAGCTTCACTCAGTCATCCATCCAATACATTTAGAATAGGCAGCAACCAACCATGTTTTGGGCTGAACCACACAAAACAACATTCAACGAGTCTTGACTTCAAAATCAGCAACTTCATATGCCTTAACTTAAACAAGGGTCACATCTCAAGAAGAAAAAAAAGGTCACGTGGCCAGGGAATTCCTAAGACAACATTCACATATTACTTAACTTTTTAACCCTCACATATACTAGATGGTGATAATGAAAATGGTATTACTCAGCCCTTTAAATAACACATACACACACAATCATACTATTTTTTTTTTAGCCTGCAGTGTTTCATTTCTCATTCCTTGTTATGTACAAATTCCTCACTCCAATACACAAAGTACATCAAAAGAAGGAAATTAAGAAGACATACTGTCATGCTTTAAAAGTACATAAAGCTGCAGAACACATTACAGAATAAGATTTCAAATGCTTAAATATCTTAAATAAGATCTCACGAAGTAATCTGAAAGATAAGCTTATAAGGAGGCATTGCTAAAATACGAAATTGTTTACAGCTCCTGGAATTTGGATCTTATTTAAAGATCAAAGCAGCCTGGGACACATCCTACTCATAATCGGATGACAAGGATAACTTCACCCGGAGAACTTTGCTCTAAAACCTGGATGAAATCACAGCTCTCTCCCAACACCCAGCAGGTTCCACGTCTTCCCTAACACTCAATTTTAACCACTGCCAACATTATCCCCCGCCCCACCCCCCGCAAAAACCTTCAAGAAAGACAAGACATATACTAACGTGTTTCGTTACCTCTATATGACGTGGCAGAGCAAGAAAACAATTACACTGGATTCTCAAAAGTAGTCCATAGCTTAAGCTCCTGCATCTTAGACCAAAGTGAATTATTTAAGCAGTCAGAAGACTGATGAGTTCTTTCACAGCTGACTCATAAAAAAAATAATAATAATTGGCTACAGGGTGCACCGAAATAGGCCAGGAATGTGACCTATGGCGTCACGAAACTTCCTGTGCAGAACTTCATGTATTTAGAGAAAGCCCGACAGAAATCCCACGATGTTCAAGTCACAAGCTCTCCGCTCGCGGGGTGACAGGCAGCTCGATCCCCGGGGCCGGGAGGCCTCTTCCCTCCGCCGGACTCGGGCCCCGACCCGCCCGCCACGCCCTAGGCGCCTCTGCGGCGGCGACCCGGCCGGCCCAGCGGCGCCCTCGGAATCGCTCTTCTCCCGGTGCGACAGGAAGGGACGCGATCCGGGGAACCAGGCCGGGCAGAGGCCGCGGGGCCGCGAGCCGAGTTCGCCCCGGCCGGGCCCGCCGCGGTTTACCGTTCCCGCCAAGGCCCCAGGAAACAAGCCGCAACCGAGGAGGAAAGAGCCCGACACCGCCATCACGGCTCGCAGACCCGTCTCACCTGGACTTGCCCACGCCGCTCTCGCCGATGATGAGGATCTTCAGGGTGGTTAGCACGTCCTCGTCCATCCTGACCCTGCTCCGCACCGCGAGCAGCTGGCCTCCCCTTCCGCTTCTCAGCCCTTCCCCCCGGGGCGAGGTACCGCGCATGCGCCCCGCCCCGCCGGGGGCCACCTTCCTTTCACACCGGGTATTTAGCTTTTGCAGAGGCCCTGGACGCCCCAGTTCCGCCTGGAGGTAGAGCTCTGCGACTGCGTAAAACCTGGAGGCCCGGGCGTCCTTCCGGGGAGGGACCGTCTTCCCTTGCGCAAGCGCAGAGGAAGAGCGCCCGTATTCGGTTTCACGCCAATTCTCAAGAGTATTTCTCCTGCCTCACGTTAACGTAACCGTCTTTTCATGGTGCTTGGAAGAGGTGTGAGTTAGGGGCGTGTAGTGCTCTTTTATTTCGGTAGCTGCTCAGAACAGCTGCATTGCAGTGGGAAGTCTGGTGCGTGAAGGCATGATTATCTTAATTTTAGTTCCCAACCACCGTGTATGCTGTGTGCTTAGTCGCTCAGTCGTGTCCGACTCTTTGCGACCTCATGGACTGTAGCCCGCCAGGCTCCTCTGTCCGTGGGAATTCTTCAGGCAAGAATACTGGAGTGGGTTGCCATGGCCTCCTCCAGGGGATCTTCCCCACCCAGGGATCGAACCCAGGTCTCCCACATTGCAGGCGGTTTTTTTTTTTTTTTTCTTTTTAACCATCTAAACCATCAGGGAAGCCCAAGAATACTGGCGTGGATAGCCTATCCCTTCTCCATAGAATTCTTCCGACCCAAGAATCTAACCGGGGCCTCCTGCATTGCAGGCGGAGTCTTCACAGCCTGAGCCACCAAGGAAGCTCATAGTCATAGGGAACATTTTTTAGACTTGAAGTTTGGGATGACCTATGAGCAAGCCTAGTTTGGAGGAAGGGATGGTAATTATGAAACGACTTAGAAGTGTGACGGGAGGGCGCCCTAAATCTGTGCTGTCTGCAAACGTTCCCACAGCAGCAGCAGGTTCAGAAGGGGCCAGGTCAGCAAGGGGAAAAAAATGGTCAAATTTGGACCACTGCCACTTCTGCCTCTTTTTCTGTTCCTGTCAGCATCAGGGAAGAGAAGACTTAGACATGCTGCTTGCAGAATTCACATGCTCTGAACAGGTGGCAACATGAGCACTGTGAGTCACGGCTTGTCCAGGGCTGCTCCTACCCAAGTGTGGGAGGCCTTTGTGGCTGCAGTTCAGGTGCTCCTGGTGAGAAAGAGTCCTACAGCGTTCCTCCCCTCCCCTCCCCCTAAACTCCATTGGCCCCTGGCTAAGCAGAGGTTCCGAACAATACCCTACCTTCCGGGTATCTCCTACCTCCATTGTGCACAGGAACTGGTTTGCAGTTGTTACTTTGTTAGTTGTATTGATAAGGTCCTGGGTACTTGGGGGCTTCCTTGGTGGCTCAGTTGTGGAAGAATCTGCCTGCAGTGCAGAAGACTTGGGTTTGATCCCTGAGTTGGGTAGAACCTCTGGAGAGGGGAACAGCATACCCACTCCAGTATTCTGGCCTGGAGAATTCCATGGACAGAGGATCCTGGTGCCCTTCAGTCCATGGAGTCGCAAAGAGTTGGACATGACTGATCAACTAACACCTGGGGACTTGGGAGAGATGGGTGAGAGGGAGAGTCTGAGGAGTGGGTAGCTGGCTTGCTCCTTTGGCCCCTTGGGTGAGATTTCAGCCCTTAGGACGAGAGCGGTCAGGATCAAGAGCTGGAGGAGTCAGATGAGGCTTTGTGGTTGGATGCAAACAGTGCTGTTTCAAGGCCCACAGGACAGTATAGCTGAGACTGGGAAAATGGTCTTGTGTTTTAATTCTACATTTGACCCTTGTTCTTGTTCAGTCAGTCATGTCTGACTCTTGGCAACTCCGTGGACTGCAGCATGCCAGGCTTCCCTGTCCATCATCTCCCAAACATGAGTTTGCTCAAACTCATGTCCATTGAATAGTCGATGATGCTATCTAAGCATCTCATTCTCACTTGACCCTATATCTGTTACAACACACACAATAGCACTTCCTACCCAGGAATTCATTCTTCGACAAAAGATGTGCTCATGTGCACTCTTGGACTTCACCCATGTTGCCGTCATAGCCCACCACCCAGAAGCAGCTGGGCTGATAAGACTGGAAAGGCCTAATGCAGGCTCCATTGTAGTGCCAGCAGGGTGATGATATCGTGTGAGGTTGGAGTACTATCCTACAGAATGCAGCCTACCAATGATGCTTCTGCTTTCCTAACAGACTCATAGTCCACGGGGAGCATCTGACTTCCCAGGTCTGGGTTACCTGTTCCTTCTATGTGGCTCCCACCATGGCCCCTGCTCTCTCTGGGCTTTGGTAAGCACTATTTCCTGCCTCTTCCCCTTCAGGTCTAGAGTGGGGAAGACTTCCTACTCTGTTTATCTCTGAGTTTATCCTTTATCTCCCTTAACCACAATGCTGTGAATAGCCCCCTTCATGATAGTGTCTTGAGACATCTGAACTGGATTATTTCTTGCTGGGACCCTGACTGATACAGCCCTTCTCTTTACATCTTCACTGTGAACTGAACCCCTAATATTAATCCCACTTTACAGTTAAAGAGACAGAGCTTCACAGGATTGAAGTGGTTTCCCCTGGGTCAGAAGACTGGGGGCTGAGAACTGAATGTAGCTGTCCTAATAGGCGCCATTACTCCTATTAGCATCGTCGCCATGCACACTTTGGCTGAACTGGAAGAGTTTATTTCACCCGTTCCTAGTGATAGGAAGGGGAGTCCTAACTCCTCTGGTTATTTTCTAGTTTCAATTTTTAACCATTAGCAAGCCAGAAAGGAAGAGAATTTGACTTTGGAGAATACTGATTCAATGGATATGAGTTCTAGGCTATGCAGATTACGGTCATTTTTACCACTGACTAGAGCTTCTTAGATATTTCATGTTGATAATATTTTCCATTCAAAATGCTGTGTGAGCTGTCTGATATTTGAACATGGGGCAGAATAGATGGACCACGATTCAAGGCAGGCCGTAGATTTTCTTGAAGTCATACTAAATGAATAGTTAAAATTCAGACTGAATAATAAGACGACGACCGTGGTGCCCATGGCTAATAATTCAGATTATGAAAAGCCAGCTAAAGATAAGCTAGCAAAGTATTTCAACAGAGAATATAGTATTAGAGGTGAGTTTGTTTTTTTTAATGTAAACTTAATTGTGACTTTTTAATCAATGTAATATGAGAATCTAAAATAGAGAAACTGGTATGGATATACCTGGACGCAAAATGACAGAGTGGCCAAACTCTTGTCCTGTGAAGATACTTGAATTCTAGTCCTGGCTTTGCTACATATTGACTCTGTAACTACTGACCAGTCACTTAGTCTTTCTGACATGTTTCCTCATGTAAAAGTAAAGACTTGGGAAGGTGACATAATAAGAAATACATGCTTGGTCTCCACCCACAGTTCCTGACACAGAGCTCTTAAACCGCTTGTAACTTCCTGAGTGATGAGACCAATACGAGCCTCTTACAGAGAGTCACCCAACCCTATGGGATTTCCTAGGCAATAGGCACATCTTTTGTTCTAATGAGGCAATACTCTGTGGGCTCCCGGATGGCTTCAGGTTGGGACTGGTCACTAGAAAGAGTATTTGTGGTTTCCAATTAAAGGATTCTCAGTATCAATCCCAGAGGTTAATCAATAAAAGGACAGTGCACATAAACGCTGTATTAGAAGAGGAGGGTTACAGCACAGCCAAAGAGAAGGACAAAGGCATTGACAGGCCCCATGAATGGATGGGAGGGAGCAGGACACTGAAATGGTGACAGCCAGAGTAGATCAGAGAACTGGCATAGGAAGAAAAGGGACAGGTTAAGGAGGAACGTTCACCAACACCAAGGGATCGTTTCCAGGGTCTTAAAATGGCTTACTGCCACAAGACTGTGCTTTTCAGACCTTAAGCCCAGCCTCAAAAGAACAAGTAGCTTACAGTAAACTCTCTTAGGTCCCTTCCAACTCAGCATTTTATTAATCTTGGTAACTGAGTTGAAGAGCAAAACATACCAAGCACCTACACCTTGAAGAATCCATTGATCATGTTAGGAATGTGTAAGCTGGAGTACAGGCTAAAGTGAAAGAAAGTGAAAGTTGCTCAGTTGTGTCCAACTTTTATAGTCCATGGAATTCTCCAGAATACTGAAGTGGGTAGCCTTTCCCTTCCCCAGGGGATCTTCCCAACCCAGGGATGGAACCCAGGTCTCCTGCATCGCAGGCGGATTCTTTATGAACTGAGTTAGCAGGGAAGCCCGTAGGGAGTACATGCTAGGCTGCTGTAATAAAGAGACCTCAGAATACAGTAGTTCACATAAGAAAGACGTTCATTTCTTTCCCACTTAATAGTTCAAAGAGACCTGGGTAATAGGGGTGTGGGGGTGGGGGCAGATGGCTGTATTCCAGATAGTGAGTCAGACCCAAGCTGTAGGGTTGATTGACCAATCTCAAGTTATGGTTTCCAATTCTGGATCCATTTCCACTGCTATTGCTTACCATCCAGGGAGAAGGGGAAGAGATGAAGTCCAGAGAAGGAACTTATCTTTAACTCAGTGGTGCCAGAGTTGACATATTTACTTCATAGCTCTTTGACCTGAGGTCTTCCCCAAGCCATGTGCTGTGTGTGTGTCGTATATGCTCAGCCGTGTCCGACTCTGTGAACTGTAGCCCACCAGGCTCCTCCTCTGTCCATGGGATTCTCTAGGCATAAATACTGGAGCGGGTTGCCATTTCCTACTCCACGGGATCTTCCCAACCCAGGGATCGAACCTGGGTCTCTTGCATCTCCTGCACCAACAGGTGGATTCTTTACCACTGCACCACCTGGGAACTATTTACTTTTCAGAGTCCTCAAATAGCTGCTCCAAATATACATTCCAGGTTTTACAACTTCATTCAGTGTCAGGAAGCATTTACCAGGGGGCTTCCAACTAATAAAAATAAATGGAAAAAAAAAAAAACAGGAGG